GTTGTAAGTCATCTTAAAGATTCCTAAATGCATCTAGTTTCGGAAGGCCAAATAAAGTGCTTTTGCTTTCGTCTAGAAACACACAGCGTCTCCCTAACATGGCTGCTTCAACACTAACTGCGGTTACTGAAACCACGCCTTCTTTCTTTGCGTGAACATTTGGGCGGCATTATGCAAATATTTCCACATAGTGAGGTAGATATGTGGGGGCGTGTTAGAACGAGCCGTTCTAAGAATATCTCTTTGGTTTTGAGACTTGAAATCGCATCATATAACCCCTTTAACTAAATCTGGGCGCTGACACTAGCTTAAAAGGTTAGTTCATGCAAAAATGAAAATTTGGTAATCAATTATTCATAATCATGTCATTCAAAACCTGTATAACTTCCTTTCTTGTATTGTAACCAAAACTGTTTGGTTACCAACATTTCTCGAAATATCTTCTCCTGCATAAAGCCAGCCAATGAGTGCAAAAGGTTGAAACTATTGCCAAAGTAACACACTAAAACAGAACAGTATTGGCTAAGCATTTCAGTACTGCCATAAAACATGTTTCTGGCCTGATGAACTTTCATATTGATACAGTGGACATTTTCTTTTGGATAAATCTTACATTAGCCCTTGCCACTGAGGAGTTCTGGGGCTACAGGTAGAACCAGGGCTCCAGACTGCGACCATTTTTTCTGCCTGTGTCACCAAATTTTGTGTGCGGTCGCACTGGCGCGACCACCGCGTTGGTAAACTCAAAAGCGCTGCAATTTCTGTTGCATATGAGAAACATCAAACGGCAAATGAAACTGAAAGCATAACACACCAACGCTTAGAGAGTATACTCGCCACGTCAGCACGAGCGCGAAGGTGCGCGCAGCAAAAATGACGCGCATATCGAGGAAACGATGGATGGTTTTCAAGCGAAAGTCAAGTAAAAGAGCTCTTCTTAAACCAGAGAAGGTGAACATGCTGGTATTCTTGTGGGGGAAAAACATGTTATCTTTGCTGTTTACCTCACATTATGCTATAGCTCTCTTTTATTTATTTGATTACTCAGTGTTTGCTAAACGTTCTGTAATTTATTAGTCGGTATATAATACAGCATGTGATGTGTGCCATGCCTCATTTAATTCGTTTTTGTTAATTAACTTTTTGTAAGCTAGTTTGTCATTGTATCGTACCGATTTATTGTTGTTGTGCTGTTTAATTAAGAATAACAATGAATCCATCTTTTGTTTTAGTCTTAAAAAAATGAAAGGTGTGACAACAAGCATCCGAAGACCGCGGCTTATAACACAGCAAAAGAGAAACTCCCGTTCACAAAATTCAAATCACAAATAATACTACTGATGATAAAGGACGGGTTGAATGTTAACCACTTTCGTTTCCATATAACTATAAACTATGATAAAAGTTCATCAGCATGCATTGAATAATCCCGTGTTGTAAATTTCTTTTATTTATAAAATAAATAAAAATAAAAAATATTGCGACCAAATCCTGTGCTCGTGCAACCAGCTGAGAAAGTTATTTGCAAAAAAGCGACCAGTGGGAAGAATGAGTCTGGAGCCCTGGGTAGAACCCACGTGGACCTACAGCTAGAGGTGTCAGAGGTGTTAATACAGCCACACCGAATCCCAGAGAGAGCTCCAAATGAACTACAGAGTAGGGGTGGGCGATATGAGCTAAAATTCATATGATATTTTACACTGTCCAGGCGATATCAATATTATATTGCAATATGAGAAAAAAAATTACAGGCAAAATATTTTAACCTTATATAACTAGAAAAAGTGAGGGATTAGACATATACCTGAAAAGTATATTTTTATTGCGCCGTTGTTTTTCTCAAAAAGTGCAAATGTGCAACATGAGGTAGGCCTGTTTGAATTAAATAAAATTAAAATTAAATAGTGTTTGAGTTGGCCAGTGGTTCCCAAACTTTTTCTGCCAGGCCCCCCCTTTTGTAGATAAAAATATTTTCAAGGCCCCCCCCCCCTCTTCTTTTTTTTTTTGGAAAGTCTCTTATGCTCACCAAGGCTACATTTATTTATTAAAAATACAGTAAACACTGTAATATTGTGAAATATTGTCAATTTAAATGATCTATTTGAATGTTTTAACATCTAGGCTACTGTATTCCTGTGATCAAAGCTGAATTTTCAGCATCATTACTCCAGTCTTCTCTTCAGTGTCACATGATCCTTCAGGAATCATTCTAATATGCTGTTTTGCTGCTCAGTAACAATTTCTGATTATTATCAATGTTGTAAACATTTGTGCTGCTTAATATTTTTGAGGAAACTATTTTTTTCATGATTCTCTTAGTTATGAATATTTGAAATTGTTCTTTGTGTCAAAGCGCTGGAGTTCGTGAGAAATAGAACGCCGCATCAGTTTACTGTCATGGATTTGTCGTGTCGCGCCGCATCCAGCAGATAACATCACTGGGTTCTATTCGCTTTTGTCAAATCGCGCCGCTCGCATCTGGTGTAGATTCTTAGAGCAGAACCATGCATCGTTAATTTATATTTCTACATGGCTCCCTACAATACAACTCCGATTTATCAATCGGTCCATCTAGTGGTCTGTTATTGATACAACTACAACTGCTACAACTGATAATGGAGCGCTCACGCGGGTACTGCGAGTCATGTTGCGGTAATTAAAATGTCAAATTAATATTTTGTGCTCAATTATTTACTTATCAGGCAAGCGGCCGCATTTTAAGCAGGACAATTATACAGTGTAGCCTTTATCACCCTGCAGAGGTTTATTTTGCAAAATAATCTGCTGACTGTACACTATCCCTCAGTTTGTGAACCACTGGAGTAGGCGATTTGTGCTCTATTAATTTGGTCTGTTACGATGCTCTATGTGTTTGATTACTAATACCTGTGTAGTACGGCGTTGCACACAGAGGACAAAAACATTCAGCCTCGACTCTTTATCGTCATTTGTGCTCAAATTGACAAAGCGTACCAAATTGAACAAAAGTATATAAATGCAAATTTGAATTCATGAATATATAACGGTATCCACGATATAGCAAAATCCATATCATGGAACAACATAAAAAGTCACTTTCATACCGGTATAATGCCCACCCCTACTACAGAGATTAGTACAGAAACGACTTCCCATCCAGAAATTAAACCCTGCAGCCCTTCAGATAATACACACCTTCTTTTACACTCCAACAGACAGAATTACGTTTTTCCAGCTGGTGATCATTTGATAAAAGCTACACGTGTCATCTTCTGCCTGAATGAGATGCTGATATGAGGGAAAAATGCATTCAGACTCACCTGCAGATGAGGGTGGCGATGATGACGCACCAGGCAGTGCAGCAGCAGTCTGCGTTTGGCTGCTCGTCGCTCTTCTTACGGCGGCAGCACAGCCAGCAGGAGTAAATGAGGAGGAAGAGGAGGTCCAAGGCCAAGCATGCCAGAGCAACACTGCCCAGCAGCAGGATGGACTACGCAAGAGATAAGAAGAAAACGTGAGCCATTAGCTACATTTACATGCACCCAAATAATGAGTTTATAATCAGATTTATGGCTCAAATGGATTGAAAAGCCTTCATGTAAACAATGCAACCAATCCGACTGGAATGGATGAAATGAAATGTGGATCAGATTGAAAGGAGTGGTGTAGACCTGAAATAACCCGATTAATAGGAAAAAACTATTTTCTCTATTAAAGAATACCTTGCACACATGTGCAGTGGGTTATCAATGTGTGTATGTTTATTTATGTTTCACATCTTTCGAACTGGTCAGTAGAGGAGACTTGCCAAAAACTCTTCTGCCATATGTCAGCTTTTTTTTTATATGCGTCACCAAGGCAAAAACAGAAATTATGTTAGCAGTAGCTCCGGTGACATTATCCTTATGGCTTTCTCTTGTTCTGAATGTTAAGAGATACCAGTTTAAATCAGAACAAATAATTTTTTTTTGGTATAAATTCTGGAGAGAAATAGCCTAGACACTGGACAAAGATGAAACTTTCTAGTGTGCATATGTCGAGTGCCTGTGTTTGCACATGCTAACAAATGCAGTATACTTTGAATGGCTTTAAGCTTTAGCCTCCAAAAAAATCATACAAAAATAATCTTTGGGAAAAAAGATTTTACAAAATGTTAACTCGTTAACATTATTAAATGGAACAGAATTTTCATTTACACCGCTGTTTTTGTTTCATTCTGATATTTCATTTGGAAACTGAAATTATTCTATTCTATGGACATCTAACTACCATATTATAACCAAATATTGGATTCATTCTTTATCAACTTGTTTTCTTTCAGTTAGCACAGATTTTGCATTTCTTTCTTGATCTGAGCTTACGCATTCAATGAACAATGAAAATTATCCACACATATTATTATTATTATTATTGTTGTTTGTTTTTTACTCAAAAACTGAGGTGCATAAGCTCAGATCAATGAGGTCCCAAAAATAAATACAAAACATGTGCTAACTGACAAAAAGACTGAATCCACGATTTGGTGATAATGTATAATGAGAGATTTACAAGCAATTTTAAAAAGGCCAGTAATTTTTGACCAGGAACATCAAATTAGGTAAAGGATATTTAGCATAGCACAAGAGTAAAACAGAAGGAAATTAATACAATTCTATATAATTTTGTTTTAAAAAATGTTCTAGTTGGACATCACTTGTCATAATGTAAAAAAAAAAAAACACACTGCAACATAAGTGACCTAATTTGTGGTTTATTTCAGTGTCATTTTCTCCCCCGACTCAACGTTTTATGACTCTTTTTAGCTCAAAATATGACTAAGACAAATCAAAGGCACCTCATAACACTTCCGCTTTTATTAAAATTGAAAATGGTGCGGGGGTCGCTCTAAGCCGAGTCTCCCACTGCAACTCACGTGACAAGTAACCTGCAGGGGAATTTTTATGTATAATGAGGTCAGGGCTATTCTCGGTTAAGACACACGCTTCACTCTGACAATCCTATTGTGACAACCCCACATATGGTGACACCCATGATGGCTTTTTCCTGATAATCAGTTAATCTGCATGGACTGGACTCACTGAACCACACTTTGCATGTAAGCATTTTAAATCTCCCAAATCACAGAGTTTACATACAGCTTTCAACCTGTGCCAAGCTGTCCGTCAAGCTCACAGTGTGTGATCACAGGAGAGCTGGGAAAACCACTGTGCTGGTTCAAAAGGGCCCAGCGAGTCAAACTGTAAAAGCGAGCAGATCTTAAAAGCACAGACTGTACTGCTAAAAGGACATCATTGCACAGTGTAGTTACTTTAAAACACAAAGCCTGATTGTTCGTCTCAAGGTAATTCTTTGGGCTTATTAGGCTCAGACGATTCCAGTGAATTTTCAGGTCAGAGGTTTATCAGACCACCTGGAAACAAAGTTGTGTTTACATTGTACTAGACTGCATTAATGACACTAGAAGTTGTGGATTGACAATTGTGTCAGTGAGTCTTAAATGGAAAATTTTAAAGTTTGTTTGATCCAGCTGTTAACAAATAAACAAGATATCAATCAACCTAACTGTATATCAAAATTTGTTTTATGTCCGTGACGTAGTCGGTATTCAGTACATCCATACCAAATATTTATTGAGTAGTAAATCAGCATATTAGAACGATTTCTGAAGGATCATGTGACACTTAAGGTATGAAAATTCATACCATCACAGGAATAAGTTATTTTAAAGAGTTAGTTCACCCAAAAATGAAAATTCTGTCATTAATTACTCACCCTCATGACGTTTCAAACCCGTAAGACCTTCGTTCATCTTCGGAACACAAATTAAGATATTTTTGATGGAATATGAGAGCTGTCTGACCCTGCATAGACAGCAAAGCAACTGAAATGTTCCCAAGTCCAGAAACGTAGCAAGGAGATCTGTAAAATAATCCATGTGACATCAGGGGTTCATCCACAACTGTACAAAGCTACGAGAATACTTTTTGTGCACCAAAAAAAAAAAAGAGAACATCAGCTGGACGTAAAACAATTTGTTTCCTACGTTGTTGTGATTTGATCTGAACGGAAACAGTGTATCCGTGTGGTGCACACTGTAAAAAAAATTCTGTAAAATTTATGGTAAAAAAAGGTGTAACACACAACCCTAATATACAAAACTGATAAGAAAAAACTAAGAAGAAACAGTTATTTCAACAAAAAAACATCAAATTTGAAATGTAACGCAGGGAATTCTGGGAATGTCAATTTACAGTTATTCACTGTAAATTATACTGTCTTTTTCACTTCCAAAAACGGTATACTACCGTAAAATTAATGTCCAATATATGTAATGTCCAATACAGTTTTTCACTGTATATAGTAGGGGAATTTACCGTTAACCATTTAACAGGTTTTTACTGTAGCATTTTTACAGTTTTTTACCGTTAAATTCACAGTCATTTTTTACAGTGCAGATGACACAGAACCGCATACATTATTTTACGTCCAGCGGATATTCTCCAAAATGGCACCAGGGTGATGCGGAGGAGACGAATTGTTGAATGAAGTCGTTTCATTTCAGTTGCGTTGCTGTCTATGCAGGGTCAGACAGCTCTCAGATTCCATCACAAATATCTAAATTTGTGTTCCGAAGATGAACTAAGGTCTTACGGGTTTGAAACGACATGGTGAGTAATTAAAGAATTTTCATTTTTGGCAGAACTAACCCTTTAACATATATTCAGATAGAAAACAGTTATTTTAAATTGTAATATTTCACAATATTACTGTTTTTGCTGTATTTTGATCAAATAAATGCTGCCTGGCTGGTCATTTATGTCCGTCATTTTAAATGGACTGTTTTCAGTCAGGATATGGTACAATGTGCATCAGACTGATAAAAGTTTGCCTCACCATTTGCTAAATTATACCACTTTTATCATTAAATCAATTAAAACAATTCACGAGTTAAAATCTTGGTTAGGCTCATATTATAGCATAATAATAGGGTAATCATGCAGCTCTTGTTTACTAGACATAAGCCATGGTAATTAGGTTACCTTAGTTAACACAGTCTTCAGAGCAGTCAATTTGCCCTCAAAACCAGGGATTGTTCATGATAGTCAAGCAGCTGAAGGATCTTTGGCCATTGCAGCAAGTTAAAAATATCAAGATCCCTGTGTTTTGCACATCCCTACTTTGAAATTGTTTCAAAATGCTCGCATTCAAGACCTCTGCGTTGAATTTGGAGAACAAGTCTATTACTTCATTGCTGTTTGACATTTCTGTGTTATGGAGAAAGATGGGAAATCATTTCCAGAAACCAAGACAACCCAGTCCCTGTGGGTAAATGCTAAACCGTTCTAATTTTAGAAGCACGATTAAGCCTTGTGCTGTATAGTCTGTGAAAACCACTTGTCTATAAACCACAATGTCCACTATTCACAGTGGCACTTCACGAAAAATGAATCTTTTGTGAGGTCTTCTGAATCTTTCACTGTTTGACAGTTCAAAAACAGACAGCGAGGGTTGTGCTGACTTGAAACAGACCCGTGGACTTTTATGTTCACGAATCTTTTGAATCTGACTTCCAGGTAAATAATCAAACAGACTCATATTGAAGATAGATGAACAAACCTTCACATCACCGATGACAATCTACTTTAAATAGCAGATGATATACCATGAACCTCTTTCCTAGTCAACATCACTAACCGACTAAACGGTTGTCGGATGATTAGACAGACATCGTGACCCACTGCTAATATGTAAACACAATCTATCCCACTTATGATCTGAACACTTGCCAGGGTCACTGAAACAACTGTTCCTCAATGAATCACCACCTACTCAACACCAACTCAAACCCAAAACCATTCAATAGCTACAACAATGGGAAATGTGAGGCAGGAACTCATCTGAGACAAATGAGGTGTGAATGATGACGACGATGGGTGATATGACGTCTCAAGATGAGGAAAATTGTGACTTGGTGCCAACACCATCTGGGAGAATGGCCAGTAAGCACTCTTGCTATGATTAATCAGTGCTTAGATAGCCTCATTTACAAAGAATGACAGCTCTTGCCAGAACTACATTGCTGACAACCTCTGATAATGTTTGGAGAATGTGATTAACAGCCTTTGCGCCCATGAGATCATCTCAGCATACTGGCAGAATGATGTGCCTTTATATAAATATACACCGCAACTGAATAATCAGCCCTAGTAGAAAATGGCAGAAGAAACAAGAGGTTTGCATGTCTACTAAATCCATCTACTTAATTGGTTTCAAACAAGAAAACAAAGTTACAAAAAAGGGGGGGAAAACATCACATTAGCCAGCATGGGGACAAACACTAGGGCTGTCAAAAAAAATTTTGAATTTCAAATATTCGTCGAATAATAATAAAAGAAAAATCCACATTCGAATGCAAAAATGTTGCATTCGAATTTAAGGTCTATGTCAGCCGTCAGGCAGCCTTATCAGTGGCGCACGAGATGCGATGAC